CGCACCAGCAGGAAGGTGAGGATGCACAGCAGCAGGCAGACCAGCGACAGTGCCAGTCCCAGTTTGGTGATCAGGTTCAGGGTCAGGTCCTAGAGGCAGGATGGAAGGGGAGGGGCTTGATCAGCACCCTGAGGCATTCTGCTCTCCTCGTGGGTCCCACAGGCCAGACCCACCTGGGACCTGCCTGGCCTCAGGACTCAGATCAGGTTGATTACCTCCACCCACCTCTTCTGCCTTAAATATCTGAGCAAGCCTGCTGTGTGTCTCTGCCATCCTAAATGCGCCCCCACACACAAACATACGCACACATCTGTGGGTACAGCAAGGATCCCAACTATGCCCCAGACTGCTCTCTGGGAAAGGTCCCCAGTGAAGCGTTGACTGTCACATCCTTTTCCAACACTGATGGGTCCCCTTCTCTGATCCCATCTCTTGCCCTTTCCATACCTGGACACACCTATCAGCTCACAAATTCTACATTTTAGCACTTTCTGGGCCTTTGCCTGGACCACCAACCTCCCCTACTCTGCCTGGCCCATTCCAGTTATCCACGGAGCCCAGTTTATCTACGATCACCTGAGACCACATACAGAAGTTTGTGCTCCAGCTCTTAGCGATATTTAACGACTAGGTCAACTGGATCGGGGTGGACAGAGGGCAGCTAGCTGGAGTAGGGCCTCCCTGTCAGGCCACATTTAGTTGCTGGGTCCTAGGGGCTTGTCTGTGGGACCCCCTGGGCTGTGCAACCATATATTACCCGTTGGGCATCAAGAACCAGCTGCTCCTCTCACCTAAGCCAACCTTGCCATCTGTGGGCTGTTGAGGGTGGCCCTGGGGCTGCTCACCTCCACTTCATAGTGGGCCATGAGGATGGCAAAACTGCTCAGGTGGCTGCATTCGCAGGTGATGCTGTTCTCACTGCTGCCCAGCTTCCTGCAGCCTGTGGTGGACCAGGACCCACCACTGGCGTTCCCCTTCCAGAAGGCACAGATGAGCTCCTCACGTGACTTGGGTGTTTCCAGCTGTGGACAGGTGAGGGTGGTCAGAGATGCTAGCCTAGAGTCCACTCCTGGGGTCTGAGCTTGGGCTGGGGCTGAGGAAGCTGCTTTTCATTGACAAGTATTTACTTGAGCATCTACTGTGTGTGCCAGGCCAGGGCATAGCAGTGAACAGGACAGACACAAATCCCTGCCCCGGGGGGGGAGGGGGGTTGATATGCTTATTGGGAAGACAGGCAGTCAATAATAAACCTAATAGATAAGTACGGTAATAAACTAGATAGTGTTTTAGAAGGTGGTAGGTGCTATTAAAAAAATACTAATAAAAGAGCCGACACCGGTGTGGCTCAGTGGATAGAGCGTTGGCCTTCCGACTGAAAGGTCCCGGGTTCGATTCCGGTCAAGGGCATGTATCTTGGTTGCGGGCACATCCCTGGTAGGGGGTGTGCAAGAGACAGCTGATCGATGTTTCTCTCTCTCTCATCTCATCTAACTCTCTATCCCTCTCTCTTTCTCTCTGTAAAAAAATCAATAAAAATATATTTTAAAAATAAATAAATAAACAAATAAATAAAGAAAAGAAAAACAGGATAGGAGAAAGATAGGGCATGACTGATTACAGATTGTAATCTACATATAAAAGCCTAAGTGACCATCGCAACCGAACGAACAACCAAACAGGCTGTGTGGGGCGACCAGGCTGGTGGGGGTATGGAGGGCAGTGAGGGGCACAACCAGGCCAACAGGGAGGGCAGTAAGGGGCGACCAGGCCAGCACCGAGGGAAGTTAGGGAGATCAGGCTGGGGGTGGGGGTTAGACAGGGAAAACCAGGCCAGCGGGGGTGGGGGGGCAGTTGGGGGTGAACAGGCCAGTGGGGGCTGGGGGGCAGTTAGGGGTGACCAGACAGGCAGGCATGTGAGCAATTAGGAGCCAGTGGTCCCAGATTGTGAGAGGCATGTCCGACTGCCAGTTTAGGCCCAATCCTCAACAGTCAGCTATCCCCTGAGGGGTCTTGGATTGGAGAGAGTGTAGGCTGGGCTGAGAGGACACTCCCCCCTCCCCCCACAGTGCATGAATTTCATGCACTGGGCCTCTAGTTTTAAATAAGGAGGTCAGAGAGAGCCTAATATCGAAGGTGGCATTTGAACCAAGACTAGAAACAGGTAAAGGACTGAGTCCTGTGAGGGAAAGGCATTTGAACCAGAGAGCACAGCAAGTGCACAGGCCCTGAGGTACATTGTAAGGAAGTAGCAGAATGGGCAGAGGTGGGGAAACGAAGACTGCAGAGGGGCCGCCATGGCCTTGGCTGTGGGGTGGACCGTGGGGCTGATCCCACCTCCCTGCCCCAGGACTCACAAGGTGGGTGAAGGCGAAGCTGACAGGAGGGTCTAGTTTCTCCGTGTCCCTGTTGCTCAGAAAGACCGTGTTGACGGTGGAGAGGACCCTGGAGCGAGCGCCTTTGACAGAACTTTCATATTTGTCTTCCAGCTCGGCTTTCTTCTCAGGCTCCAGCTCCACGGAGGCATTGATCAGCAGTTTCCACATCGCTCGGCTGGAGAATATGCCTGCCACAGTGGGGCCTGGGGGACAGACACGCTGACTACCTTCTCCTGCCTCCCTCCCTCCCTTCCTCCCTCCCTCTCTCCCTCCCTCCCTCCCTCCCTCTCATGACTTCTAAATTAGGCTTGGCCAGTCCACCACGATGCCTGGAGTCCCTCACAGTGGGGGATGGCTCCGTTTCCAACTGTTACGTATTTGGAGCCTCTCCCCTGGCCATATCCCAGCTCTTGCTCCCCTCTCCCACAGGCGCCCCCTGTGGAAGGTACCTGCTGTTACCTGAGTCCCCGGCTCCAGCTGCCTGAGTCCAGTTCAGCTTCATTCGTGCTTGGGTCTGGCCCAGGGTGTCGGTTTCATTCCATTGCTCCTTGATCATCAGGGACAGCTCTGAGGGGAGAAGGGCCGTGGCTGCGGGGATCCAAAGGCAGGATGGGGCTAGGGCCGGGGCTGGGGCAGGGCAGGAAGAGGCCTCACCTGTGTCCGAAGGGGAATGGTAGGTCAAGGAGCCTGCAGGCAAGGCCTTGGCCAGGGTCCTCAGGAATTCTTCAACGTTTGAGAGCAGGGAGGTGGCCACGCGGTACCGGGCAGTCAGGGCCAGGCCCTCCAGGTCCCCAGGACCTTTCAGCTCTTCCAATTGGTGGATGAATTTCTGGGGGGAATGGGTGACAGCTGCTGGGTGCCTGCACCACGGGGACCGCCCAAAGGACCCTGGCATCCCTCCCTCACTGGGGAACACCCTGGCGGCCCCCCAGGTTGCCCGGGGGACAAGACACAGGGGAATCATCTAGACACCGCCACCGCCAGAAGACAGGTGTGAGTATATGCCTCTATGGCGCTTAGCATTCATGAGCCACTGACTTCCTGCCAGGCCCTCTCCTAAGTCTGCACTGTCCGCAACAGTCACCAGGAGTCGCGTGGGACAGCACATTGAAATGCTAACGTTCTGAATCTATTGGGTTAAATGGGATCGTCCCATTAATTAACTTGTTTACTTTTACTATTTTAATTCTTAAAAAAAAAAAAATCCTCACCCAAGGATGTGTGGGTTTTTTTTTGTTTTGTTTTGTTTTTTTGTTTTTTTTTTATTGATTTAAGAGAGAAAGGAAGGGGGAGAGGGAGAGAAACATCTATGCGAGAGAGAAACATGAATTGGTTGCCTCCTTCATTAAAAAAAATTTTTTTTAAATGATTTTAGAGAGGAAGGGAGAGATAGAAACATCAATGATGAGAGAGAATCACTGGTCAGCTGCCTCCTGCATGCCACCCCCCACTGGGGATGAGCCTGCAACCTGGGCACGTGCCCTTGATCTGAGTCGAACCTGGGTTCCTTCAGTCCACAGGCTGATGCTCTCTCTATCCTTTGAGCCAAACCAGCTAAGGTTATTCTTCCTTTTTTTTTTTTTTTTTTTTAATAAAGCTACTGGGAAAATTTAAATGACACAAGAGGCTCATATAAACTGAGCGGCCAGATTATTATGATCTCTGAAGGCATAATAACCTGGCCACTCAGTGTATAGCCTATAGAATAAAAGGCTAATATTCAAAATGTCCCCTCGATCAGGAGTTCGACCAGCAGGCAGGCCGGCCAACCGCCCATGTCCCTCCCCCTGGCCAGGCTGACTGGACCCCACCCATGTATGAATTCATGCACCAGGCCTCTAATATATATATTTACACACACACACACACACACACACACACACACTCTGAGTGGGCACCATTCTTTGAGAACTATTCTCTTTGTTCATTTAAACCTTCACAACCACTGTATAAAGTAGGAGGCTGAGATCCAGAGAGGGGGACCCTCAGGTCACGGCAGTGCGTGTGGGATTTCATTCTGTAGCCATTCTATCCCTCTCGAGTGTGAGTGTGTGCACGAGGGCCCTGCTCCAGCCACTGGGGGACCCAGGAATTGTGATGTGTATGTACATCCGTTTGTGCGAGAGGGGTATACTGGGTGTCCTCAAAAACATATACAGCTGAAACCGGTTTGGCTCAGTGGATAGAGTGTCGGCCTGCGGACCGAAAGGTCCCGGGTTCGATTCCGGTCAAGGGCATGTACCTTGGTTGCGGGCACATCCCCAGTGGAGAGTGCAAGAGGCAGCTGGTCGATGATTCTCTCTCATCGATGTTTCTAACTCTCTATCCCTCTCTCTTTCTCTCTGGAAAAAAAAAATCAATAAAATATATTAAAAAAACAAACAAACAAAAAACATATACATACGTTAACGGCTGGTAGCTCAATTTTGAAAATGAAATATACTTTAATCAGCACTGCCTTTATAATCGTTCAGGGTGTGTCCATACACTTTTGGGGGACACCCTATCGATGGTGTGTGTATAGTGTGTATCCAGCCACCGGCGTTTCTCTGAGAGGCCCTGCTTGGGCTGTCTCCACTCACACTGAAGCATCCCCCAGCCACCCCCACACTGTCATGTCCTTACCTGGATGGTATCGTGGGCGGAAGCAGGCTTGAAGTCTCGACCCAGTTCCTGGACTTTTTCAAAGAAGTTGGAGAGAGTCTGGGGAGAGAGGAGATGAGGGGTCAGAAAGCTTCACACCTGGGTGGGGGAGCGTGGGGGAATGAAGGGCAGGGACCTTGCCTTCAGGTCCGGCTGGAGTCACTCACCTGGCTCTTGATTCCATGGGGCAGGGTCCAGGTGGGGAAGGGGGTTTTGGGGAAAGGAATCTCTGCAGGGAACAGAACAGCAGTCCATTAGGCGTGTGTGTGTGTGTGTGTGTGTGTGTGTGTGTGTGTGTGTGTTGGAGGCAGGGTCTAGGTCAGGCCAGCTATCTTCACACTGAGTAGTCCTCTGTTCATTCAGGACCCTGGGCCCCTCTCCTCTCTGTGCCCCACCCCTTTCCCCCTACGCCTTGGCTGGAGGTGATGACACCTGCTGACTGCACACTCCTGAATAGGGGACACAGGGATTATGGGAAGGGTGCAGAGGCCTGACACACAGCAGGTGCAGGTTGTGAGCTATTAGACACCTTTGTCCCGGTGAGTAATTAGCTGCTGCCTGGGGTCCCCCAGGAGCCTTCCCCTTGGTACCCCAGCTCCTTCTGCAGGACCCCAGATCTCTTCCCATTTAGTCCCAGAGAAGGGAAGCCTGGCCCGGCAGGTGCCCCAGCATTCAGTGTGCTGGGTTCGTGTGGCTGCCCGTGAACTTTGGGAGTGTGGGATCTGAACTCCGAACCTTCACAGACGGTGTTGTTTGGGCCATTGGGGGACCCAGGAACCGGCTTCCAGCCAGGGCGGCAGCGGCACTCATAGCTGCCCTGGGTGTTGAGACATTGGGTGGATGGGTGGCAGGCGTTCTGCCCAGAGGTGCATTCATCCACATCTGAGGAAAAACCAGAGAGAGTTTCAGGTCCTCCCTCCACTCCCTGCTCTCATCCTTCCTGCCCCTTCTCTCTCTCTCTCTCTCTTTAAATATATTTTATTGATTTTTCACAGAGAGGAAGGGAGAGGGATGGAGAGCTAGAAACATCAGTGAGATAGAAACATCGATCAGCTGCCTCCCGCACACCTTCTACCAGAGATGTGCCCACAATCAACGTACATGCCCTTGACTGGAATCGAACATGGGACCCTTCAGTCTGCAGGCCGTCGCTCTATCCACGAGCCAAACCGGTTTCGGCTCCTGCCCCTTCTCTTAAACCCCTTAGCAGTTCACACCGAGGGCACCCCACAACACCCCGCTTACCAGGACCCAGCCTGACAGGATTCAAACTTGTGGTGACATTTTCCACTCAGAGCGCCCCTGCAAGGCGGTCAGGGCGGGATGGACTGGGGAGGGCCTGTGATGGACCTCTAACCAGGGAGGCTGCCACACCGATAGCTCCCACGTGTGAGGCTGTGGGCTGTGGCACCGCTGTGCCCGGAGCTGCACTCCTGTCCTTATTAGAACAGAATCCGAGCCCTAGCCAGTTTGGTTCAGTGGATAGAGCATCGGCCTGTGGACTGAAGGGTCCCAGGTTTGATTCCGGTCAAGGGCACATGCCCGGGTTGTGGGCTCAATCCCCAGTAGGAGGTATGCAGGAGGCAGCTGATCAATGACTCTCTCATTGATGTTTCTCTCTCTCTCTCTCTCTCTCTCTCTCTCTCTCTCTCTCTCTCTCTCTCTCTACCTCTCCCTTTCTAAAAAAGCAAAAGAGAACAGAATCTAAAGGTCAGCCCTGCCCGGCCCAGGTGCCCTCTCCTCAAACACCAGTGCTGACAGTGCTGCCCCTTCTCTGCCAAAACCCTTATGGCAGCAGCCTTTAACATGGCTCAGCCTCGTAAAAAAGATGTGGTTCAGTTATGGGATTTGAACTTCTAACCTTCACAGACGGTGTTGTTTGGGCCATTGGGGGACCCAGGAACTGGCTTCCAGCCACGGCGGCAGCGGCACTGATAGCTAGCCACTTTGTTGATGCAGTGAGCGGTTTTGTGGCAGGGTTTTTGCCCAGAGGTGCATTCATTCACATCTGAGGACAAAGCCAGAGGTCAGGCCCTCCCTGCACCCACTCCTCAGTGCCTGAGCATCCCACCGTCAGCACACATGCCACCTCCTGGTGACCTTCAACTTCACCCTCACAGCACATTACGGTATGGACGTGACAGGGACCACAGTCTCCAGTTTACGGGTGGCAAATCCTGGAGGGAAACTGAGTCACTCGGACCAGGTTTCTTGGCCAAGGACTCCTGCCTACTCCCTCCTGGGCCCGGGGCCTGTTTCCCTTCTGGGAGCCAGAAGTCACACCTCCCTCTGCTGCATGTAACAGCTGAGTGAAGGGAAGGGCCGGGTGCTCACAGGGGCTCCACAAGAAAACCCCAGGCCCAGAAGGCACTGCCACCGCCTGCTCTGTGGCAGGACCTTTCAGGGAGGCGAATCCTCAGACAAATCCCAGGCCTTGGCAGAGAGCCTGGGGGTCTTCTCCTGCCTCCTGGGGCCGCGGGACCTGCGTGGCTCCTTCCCCGCTCCATCCAGTCCAGCCTTACGGCCTCTTCCCGGGCCTCTACCTCTGCACAGCTCCGAGTCCTCCGGGTTCAGCTCAAATCCTGGCAGGCACGTGCAGGTGTAGCTGCCAGGGGTGTTGACACAGGTGCTGCGACTTTTGCAGATTTTGGTGTTCAGCTGACATTCGTCCATGTCTGCAAGGGGAAGGAGAGGGTGGTGGATGCCTGCAGCCTGGTGGTCAGCCACATTTCCTGCCATGGAAGCGTCCAGAAGGGCCCCACTGCCTCCTGCCAGCTGAGTGGTGCCTTTTCTAGTTCACATGAAGGTATTCTGTGGGTAAGGATGGTGGCCTAGGTGCTCTGTTGTCCAGATGTGGCCAGAAGTGGTCCAAGTCCTCCCTCGGACTCTCTCTACCATCACCTCCTCCCCGGGCAGCTCCCAGCTAGGGCAGGGGCAGCACCACCACCTGGGTCCCAACCTGAGGACTCGGGCAAAGGCCAGGCCGAGCCTCCTTGGGACCAAGTGCGGGAGAGGTGCTGCGGGCCTGAGCAGGCTCGTTTCGGTGGCCTTGGTCCTGGCTCCCCCGGGGGTGCTGTTGGCTGAGCTCTCCTTGGATCCCGGTGACTCTGCTGAGACAGCACTCTCCCATCCACACGACTTCTGAGACTCCAGCCCATGGAGAGGGACCGAGAGCCAGCCCTGAGCCTGACCCCTCGCGGACAAGGCTGTTAGGCCGGGGTCCAGAACGTGAACATGGTGCCAGGCAGGCCAGGTCAACGGGTGCCAGGCCATGAGGGCAGTGGGGCTGACATCCATCCATGCCGCCTTGGGGTGGGAAAGTGTTCCTTTTGACCGCCCTGAAGGCATCCCCTGGACTGACAGGGAGTGATGAGAATCCACATGTGAGCAAGGCCATGTGGGCCAGGCTGGGTGCCTGGAGCAGGCGCAGGGGCTGATGGGTGAAGAGTGGCAGGCGTGTCTGTCATCGGGCTCCTTGTTCTCCCACCAGGGACACAGCCTTGTCTTCTGTCCCCCCGTGGCACCTGCGTGGACCTCCTGGGGCAATGGTCCCCGATGGCGCCTCTTGTCACCTGGCCCAGGTGGAACCTCTTCCTTCACCCAACTCCCAGGGCTTGGGGCCGGCTCACCCCAGACATGCGACCCATCCGGATCCCGGTCCTCAAGCTGCCCACCATCCTGAGGACGGAAGTTACTGGGGAGGGCCAGGGTGGGTGCTTGCTCGGGGGAGATAGATGGAGGCCGAGTGGCTGAGAATTGGGGTCAGGAGGCAGCTTCTGCAGCTGGGGCTGGGGGCCAGAGGCAGTTTTCTTGAGGGGATCCCAAGCCATGATGGGGTCTGGCCTGGCTGCCCCTGTGTGGGCTCCAGTGGCATCAGGTCCCATCTCAGCAGGCCCTGGAGGCGGGGAAGAGGGCGATATTGCTCTGGAATGCACCCGTGCCTTGAGCTCTTGAAGAAGCTTCACTGCCACGCTCATTAGCTTTATGCGATAAGGTGCCAGGGGAGCAGGCCCCGAACTTCTGGGTCGGCCTCTGCAGAGGGTTCTGAGCCTTGCGGTCCACAGAGGGTTGGGAGACCAGATAGGTGCCTGGGACGGCCCTTTGACGTCTGGAGAAAGAGGGGTGAGCAGCCGAGGAAGGGATCCCAGGTCTCCGGCTCAAAGCAGACCTCAGGGGCCATGATGCAGGCGGACGTGTCCGTGGGGTGCTGCGGTGGGCAGGTGCACGGATGGGCGGGCGGGCGGACGGACGGACGGACGGACGGCCCGGCGGAACCCGTCACAAAGCCAGGTCTTCAGGCGGCAGGTGCTGATCCAAACCTGCAGGCAGCTCTCTCCCTGGGGTGCCTCCCTGCCACCTCACTCTTGTTCGGCCCTGTCCCTGCCCAGCTGCTCTGGCCCTACCTCTCAGGCAGGCCTGTTCCCGGAGCAGCCACACGCACCGCCTGTGTGCAGGCTGCCGATGGGGCCCGTGGCCACCGCTGCGGCTGTGCAGGCGGCTCAAGGAGGCAACTAACCACCAGCTCACTCTCCTTCCCCAAACACACGTGTTCACCTGGAGGCAGGGGGCATGGTTCCAGTTCACATGCAGGCTGCGCCCTGTGCCCAGGTTACATAACATGCCCCCACCGAGGCCCCCGGGGACCAGCCGAGGATGGAGCCCTCCCGCAGGGGTCCGGGCAGGTGCCCCCTTCCCACCCACCAGGAGGCTCCACCACCTCCCTCCTCACCCGGCTCAGCGCCTCCGGGACCCGCAGCTCAGCCTCCTCCTCCCTCCCCTGCCCACCGGCTCTCCCTGGAAAGGGGGCAAAGCCTGGTGACGCATGGAGGCCTGGCTCCTCCGGGGTCCCTGGTGAGGGGCTGGGCAGGCCAGCTGTCATGCGCAGCCACGGAGAGGGTGTGCGAGATCAGAATGAGTGCAGTCTAAAAACCCAGCAGCCGCCACTGTGTGTGCTCTGTGATCTCATATGCTTTCCCAGCGATTCTGTGAGGTGAGCACCACTGTCTCTCCCTTTTACAGGTGGGTAAACCGAGGCCCAGAGAGGCGAAGAACGTGTCCAAGGTCATACAATTAACAAAAGGAAAAGCTTCTTTTGTTTTTATCTGTGAAAGATAGGCACTTTCCCTCTCTCTCTCTCTACCCCTTCCCCCTTTCTCTCTCTTTTTACATAAAACCACAGTAATATCATCACATTTCACACATTACCAGTGATTTCTGAAGAAGTGTCCTGGCTGGTGCTGCATGCCCAGCTGTCGGGTAGCTGTTCCAGGACTTGAGTCCTGGCTCAAAGGCCACCTGCCTCTCTGTGCTAGTGGGACAGGCACAGGCACACTTGTCCCCTCTCAGACCTGGGGCTGCACCTTGGACCAGGGCCTGGCACCCTGTATGCTGCAGGAATGGCTCTGGGGACTCCAAACCTGGACGTGGAGATGGAAGGTGCAGGTCATTCTTACCTTGACACGTGTTCTCACTCACATTACGGAACTTTACTCCCCCAGAAAGAAGCCTGTATCCTGGGCTGCATTTGCAATAGAAGCTCCCCTTCGTGTTATGGCAGTCTGCAGCGATTCCACAGGTTTCTTTTTTGGGTTGATCACATTCGTTAATGTCTGCAACAAAACAGGATAAAGGGTCACCTCCCAAAGCCATGAGTGCCCTCAGGGCAGAGAGCCTGGTCCCATACCCAGCATGGAGCCTGAAGCTCAATCAGTGTCTTTTGGGAAATAATTAGACTCAGACAACACTGCTGTGGCTGGAGCAAGCCATTCCTGAAACCCACCCTATCGGTTCAGCTCTGCTCAGCTTTCTGCCTGTCACCTGGATTTGGATCCAGGAGCAAGACCTGAAGTAGTGGGTGGGTGGAAGCTCTGCATTCCCCTCCCCAGGCCTGGAAGGGTAAACTGAGGCACGGATTCCAGACTCCTAGAGACCCAGCTCCTCCCTCTGTACGAAGCCATGTTCATTCACTTCTCATTTTCTACCTTCATGTCTTTTTCTTTCTCTTTTCTCTGTGCTTCATGATGGTCTGAGCACAAAGGCTGCGGCCACCAACCACCATTCCATCTCCCAAGCCTCTGTACCTTCACAAATATCCGCTCGGCTGACTTCAGTCTTTCCCTGTGGAGGTTTGAATCCTGTGTTACAGTGACAGGCAGTACCACTGACACATGTGGAGTTTGGAGGGCACTTCTGGAGACACGCAGAGGCTGTGGGACAGAGACCAAGGTCAGGAGATGAGGGTGAGCCAGAGGCTGAGAGGGGTCTTGGGAGGGGCCACCCTGAGCTTCCCCTGCAGCAGGCCTTTCCCTGCCTGGGCTGTGAGGTGCAGGTGGGGGATGGGACTGGCTGTGGACGGAGTTACTCCCAGCAGACTCACCCCTGGCGCTCTGGGGTCCATCTTCCAACAGAATCAGCAAGACACACAGCCCTGGAACAGAGAGATGGGGGTCAGGGGGGCACAGAACAGGGGAGGGAGGCCTGAGGGGGACACATCTGAGGGAAAGGGCTGCTCACCCCTCCAGGCTCGTGGTCTGTCCATTGCTCAAGGAGAGAGTGGCCGGTGGCACCTCCCTGGCCTCCAATGCCCCTGGCCAGAGGGTCCGCACCCCTTGCCTGAGAGGGGCTTCCAGGCACTGAGGGATGGGGCGGGGCCGAGCCTGGCAGGGGTCTTGGCTTCTGCTGACCTGAGGGCAGCAGTTCAGTAGAAATACTGGAGCCAGGTGGCCTTGGCTCTACTCCCAGACCCTGGTCAGGTGCCTCAGTTTCCCCTTCTGTAGAATGGGGATGAGGAGGGGGCCCTTTCCCTAGAGTGTGAGAGTCAAGCACACAAGTACTGCCTGGTGTGTCAGAGTGCTTGCTGCTGCCATTTCTTTATGAAAATGAAGGGATTGGGCCAGGTGTCCTCTCAAATCTCCCAAAGCTAAGGAGCTCCGGCCACACCCCTCCTCAGGGACACAGGTGCAAGCACACTGCACCCACACCTGTCAGCCACAGGACCAGCTCGGGACCCCGTGGTGACATTTCAGCCCTGGCTCCCTGCACACAGGAAGATGCTGGGGCTCATGTTAGGGGTGGAGCTACATGGGCCCCCCAATCCTGCTCTTCCTGCATCTTAGGGGCACCCCATCCCAGGGCATGTCCTGGGGTTCTCCTTAAGTCAGCAGGGGGTCTAGATATGAGGACCCATACATCACAGAGAGAGACAAGGAGACAGATGGAGAGAAAATAAAGAGGAAGGAGAGAGAGAGAGAGAGAGAGAGAGAGAGAGAGAGAGAGAGAGAGAGAGAGAGAGAACACAGAAATGGAGAGATAAGCAGAGAGGCAGAGCTAAGAACCCAGCGATCTAGAGAGCTGGACAGAGAAATAGGGAACTCCTAGAAAGGAAGAGATACAAATGAGGAGATTAGACGGAAAGAAACCGAGAGATAGAGAGATTGAGAGCCAGATAGAGAAACAGAAGGGGAAGGGAGGGAGGGGAGGAGGGAGAGAGAGGAGGAGGAGGAAGGAGGGAGGGTGGGTGCCTGGGCAGCAGTGGGCTGAGGGGAGGGCTTGAGGGATCCATCCAGTCCCTGCTGATCTAGAGATGCTGGGAAGGCAGCCCAGACCCAGATAATCCAGGGAAGCCAGATGGGGGGCAGCGGGTGGAGGGATGGGGGCCAGGGAGACAGGGCAGGAGTGAGTCACCTCGTGGGTCAAAGGAAGGAATAACTCAGGGCTCCCAGTCCCCATGGAGGGGCTCCCAGGGGGATTTGGGGTCTGTCAGTGTGAGCACAACTTGAGGAGCTGTGCAGGGTGCAGACTGGACGGTCCCTTGAGCACTCAGTCCCAGTGTCCAAACTTGATACCCCTCAGGCCAGCAGAGGGCAAAGTCCCCCACACCCTCCCTGAGGCCCGCACAGATGAGGTAAACTGAGGCTGGACTTCCTGTCTTCTTCCTCTGCGGCCACAGGGTTTGGTTAGTTCTCTCTTTGGTGGAAACACACTTCCTCTTTGTAGGATAGACACAAAATGACCTTCCCTGGCAGGGCGGGCCCTGGGCCAAATCGTCCCAGCTCCCAAAGCCCCAATGACTTCCATGCTCACAACCGCCCAAGGACAGACGCTCTGTTTATGTCCACTCTGCAGATGGACAAACTGAGGCTCAGAGCCCAGGAAAGGCTCATGGAGAATCTGGTGAGAGGGGGCTGGGGAAGATGGAAGTGAGGGGTGAGTTCCCCAGACCCTGCAGGGAGGGGGTTCTCTGTGCTGAGCTGGGCTTTCCTGCCCCACCACAGAGGCTGCTGGGCCAGAGCCCACCTGGGGCCCAGGAAGGCCCCCAAACAGGAGCCTGGAGAGGGGGCAGGGCGCTGCTCCCAGACCCACTGGGTGCATTCCCCTAGCTGAGCCCTGGGCAGTCAGATCCTGCCTGGGGCCCTGTGGCAGGGGTGGGGCCGGCATTCTCTCCTGGCTCCTCCTGCTAAGGACCCCCCCCCCCAGCCCATCCCCCAGACCCTCCAGTGAAATAATAATAATAGTAACAATAACAACAACAATAATATTCACTTAATTCTTACTGTGAACCAGGACTCAACCCTTCACACAGCCTGTGAAGGGGAGACCAGTCTTGCTCTGCCCCATTTCACAGACCTGGAAAGTGAGGATCAGGGGCTCTGTGACTTGGCCCCCTGACATATCGCCCCCTGCAGGGGAGCTCCACACAGACTGGGCAAGTTTACTAAACATCACCTAATTATAATCATGCAACGGGCGAATTACATGCTATGGAAATTACACTTCACCTTGATAAAGCTGTAACAAACACCTCGCGCCTGGCACCCTGGGCCCGCACAGGGAGCCCCATCCCTGTGGCCTGGGGAAATTCCGAGTGGCACCCCAAGTGTCATTTCTTCACTCTCTTTGTTGCCCGGTTGCCCCGGCAACGGGCTGCCCGATAACCTGATAACCGTTAGAGCCACCCTGGGTGGGGCGGGAAGGGAGGGGGGGGGGAGGAGGGCGGGGAGTCACAGCTGAGCTCAGGCTCAACCCACAGCAGCAAAGCCCTTAACGCACAGCTGAGTCCCCGCTGGGTCTGGGGGAGCAAAAGAGGGGGTCTCCGGGCTTCCCCTGCCACAGGATGGGAGATGTGTGGGTGTCACCCCATTAGCTCCCTAGCCCCCTCCCTGCCCTCTGCTAAGAGTGACTTCCTGAGGGGGTCACAGCACTCATTCGGCCCCTCTCTTCCCCCGGCTCCAGTTTCCCCTTTTAGGGAGCAGCTTCCAAAGTGGAAGGAGCTTGGAGATCCCTCTGGGGGTGGGGAACAGACCCTCAGAGCACCCGGGGGGTCCTGCCAGGTGTGGGGGTACCCGGGCACTGCCGGCTGCTCCCCCTTGTGCCCCGGCTCCCGCCTAACCATGTGGCTTCCTCCGTGTCAGGCCAGAGCTGCCAGCGGTGCCTCCTATGTCTCCTCGGTGGCAGTGGTGTGGGGAGGCTGGGAAATGAGGCACCAGAGGGGTGCTGCCAGGGGCTCCCTCAAGCCTCCCAGAGGGGTCCCCAAATCCTTACCCTGGAGGATGTGGCAGGCGCTGAGGCGGGGAGCTCCCATGATGACCGGAGCTGGCAGCAGGGGGAGAGGAGGCTGGGGCAGTCCCGAGTTCCCGGGCCCGGTCGCTGCTTCTTTATAAAGTGTGTGGGCGGGCCCGCCCCGGCCCCGCCTGCAACTGGCGGCAGCGGGAAGCCAGCGGGAAAGTGCGGTGAAGACTCAGACCGGCAAACGCTCTGCCCCCCTACCCCCACCACACACACACACACACACACACACACACACACACACACACACACACAGCTCTGAGGTGTCTCCTGCGCTCAGGTCCTGGGCCTGCAGCTCCACAGTTTGAATTTCTTTCTTTTCTTTTTTAAAATATATTTTATTGATTTCTTACAGAGAGGAAGGGAGAGAGATAGTTAGAAACATCGATGAGAGAGAAACATCCATCAGCTGCCTCCTGCACACGCCCCACTGGGGATGTGCCCGCAGCCAAGGTACGTGCCCTTGACCGAAATCGAACCCGGGACCCTTCAGTCCACAGGCCAACACTCTATCCACTGAGCCACACTGGTTTCAGCCACCGTTTGAATTTCTGACAAATTCTGGGCCTCTCGGCACTCATCCCAGGCAAACGGTGCCATGCGGGCTGAGGGGGGGAGGGAGTCCTGCCCAGAGGACTGTTTAGTTTCGGGAGGGGCCATCCCCACGTCAGAGACCCCTGGGACTTCCATGTTGGGGACTCCCCTGTGCTCACAGCCTTGGCATGTCCTGGTCTCCAAAGCCAGCTCCTGAGCTAACAGTCCCCCCCACCCCATTGTTCAGAGGAGGAAACTGAGGCACAGAGAGTTCAGAGTCCTTTAGGAGCTGCAGGAGTGTGAGGTGCCCACACGGATGCCAGGCAGGCACCAGGAACAGCCAGTCAGACACCGGGCCACCGGGCGGGAGACAGCCTTTGGGCGGGCGGGCGGCGGGCGAGGTTCCCCCTGTGGGAAACTTGCATTTCAGGGGAGTGTGGGCATCGGGCGAACCGCAGAGAATCACATGGTAGGAAAGCTGTTTCCTTTTTGAATAAGTCACATGACTGACTTGTCTCCGGGGCCATAGAGCAATTTTTTAAATATGCTATTATGTATAAAGCGCCTACTCTGGGCCGGCCTGACCGCAGGCGCTGTGTCCATGTCAACCCGGTGACTGGGAAACCCCTGGGAGGCAGGTGCGGCTCTGCTCCCCATTTACAGGGGGGAGAGGGGGGGAAACTGAGGCACAGCTAACCTGCAGCTCAGCAGAGGCCCAGGGTTGGAGAAAGTCACTGCCCGGTGCTAATGTGTCTTTAACACCTCGTGGCCCTGAGGTTTATCCAGCTAGCTCCACGGTGTTACATTTCTTGTGTTATTATTATTTTTAAAAAATATATTTTATTGATTTTTTTTTTTTTTTTTTACAGAGAGGAAGGGAGAGGGAGAGAGAGTTAGAAACATCGATGAAAGAGAATCATCGATCAGCTGCCTCCTGCACACCCCCCACTGGGGATGTGCCCACAACCAAGGTACATGCCCTTGACCAGAATCGAACCTGGGACCCTTCAGTCTGCAGGCCGATGCTGTATCCACAGAGCCACACCAGTTAGGGCCCTTGTGTTATTATTTTAAGTTTAGGGAGTCCCAGGGCAACAAAAAGGGTTTGCCAGCGATAACATCAATGTGCTATTTCCTTTTTCAGTGAACGATTCAAGGATGCAAACATGTAGAAACATTAAAGAAAATATGAAGTCCGTTATAGTTTAAAAGGGGAAGATTGTGGTCCCGGAAAAATAAGGTCACCCATGGCTGAGGGCAGAGAGGTGACATCCCAGGGACAGGAGCGCCCCCATCCCTAGGATTAACCCCTTCCTACCCACGGCCGTTCCCTTGACCCAAACGGGGTCGGAGGGGCCTGGGGGAGGGAAGTGAGCACCAAAGGAGGCTGGGAGGGGAGAGGGCCAGGCCAGGCTGTTTTGCCCTCCCTCCCCTCCTCCCAAAGCTGTAAACCCCAGGGCTGGGCGTCCTGCCCTCCAGGCCAAGGTGTGATTCCTGGAGGAGCTGGGGGTGCGAGGCCCAGCCTGGGGGGGGGGGGCAGGGAGCCTGGACCCCGGGTCATTGCCCCACACCGTCCACATGATCACCCACTGCTTTGCCTGCTCCTCCCCTGGGATGTGCCTTGGGCCCTCGGAGCAGGTCTAACCTGTCTGGGACTCAGTCTTCCCGTCTGATGAATGGGAATACTGGCCTCACCAGCAGGGCAGGGAAGAACTGGGCTAATACACTAGAAATGCACTGAGATGTATGCTGCAAGCTTGGGGGCGGCCCCAAGAGGAAGATCCTGCCACGACCACTATCACCGGGCCCGTCAGCAAGCCCTACGGCTCTGACTCCAACTGGACCCCAAATCCCCCCACTTCTCCTCATCGGCCCCCACCCTGACCCTACCCTGGGCTAGCCCCATCGACTCCTACATCCGTGCCCTGGCTCCTGTCCCCACATGTTGTTCCCCTCTCTGTGGAC